CCTCAGCAACATCCTCATCACTCACACCGCGAATGCCCCGGCAAGTAATGACACCCTTGGAGTAGTTCTTAGAGGGGTGAGGGTGCACCGATACGGGCACCCTAACCTCTCCCTGTCCTCGTACTTTGCAGGTAAGTGTGGTCATTTTAAGCATGCGCTGGATCTCACGTTCGTCTGTTAGATGCACTTCTATGCCTCCGTCCGCATACGAAAAGACATCCTTGGGCGTCCCGATCTTTGAAAATGCTTGTTGGCGCTGAAATGGGTTTAGTCGGAGCGGCACTGTCCTTCCTTGGTCATCTACTTTGGCGGATCTTACGACCAGAAACTGGGGTAGTGGTACAGGGCGACAGTCGGGGTTTGGGGGGTTGGTTGATGATAAAGCGTCCATAGGTGTGTGTTTATATTCGGCGCGCTGATTCCCCGCCCACCACGGAGCCCAACACGGGGACGGTCCACTTCTAACAGAGGAGCCGCCAGGGCTACCAGCACGCTATACGCAGACCAGTGTGCCAAAAGAGTTGCTGCGAGAGCCACCGGGCACGAGTCTGCGGGCGCCAGTGCCTCGGTTCGCAAGGGCTAACCAGGCACCCTGGTAACAAACCGAGATACGGTCCCTTAATGATGTCAGGAGGCAGACACTGCACCCGGCAGCTCCCCTCAACACCAGTCACATGACCTGCCTGCTTCCAAGCGTCACGAAAACACGACGCCCGACCAGCCGGTTTCCTCGTGTGGAGACTTCACGAGGCATCCGCGGGATCACAAATTCGGGCCAAAGCCGCGTGTTGGTAAGCTACCCCGACTGACCCGCAGCGCAACTCCCTCAGTGACCAGGATCCCTTCATCGCTACCTGCGGATCCAACAGGGTACGGCGAGACCCAGACAAGACTGAAAAGCTGAGGCCGAGGGGTTGCTAATCCCTACTCTGAACGAGTCACGTTTTGCGGGAGGCACGTTATGTCTGGCCCCTCCTCTTTGGCCGGAAGGGGCGCTTTACAAGCCTCCTCAATCGCCCGCAGGATCATTGGGGCACGCAATCCCCCCCCCCCCACCACGGAAAGGTAGTGCCTCACGGGGGGGGGGGGGGGGGGGCTCATTTCGAATTCATTAACGACAGAGAACGCAACGGACATAACCCATGGACTTCTTAACCGTCACAGTAGGTCATTGGCCCAAAATGATCCAGGTCAACATTTTTTTTTCAGGGGCATACTGCCAAGTGTAATCTGTGACGCTTACTTGTGTGGCAAGATAGGAGCAATCTCGCAAGTATTCGGTCATCTTTATCTGATGGACGTCAGTCAAGGTCAATGACCTCAGTGGCCCTTCGTATAGAATATGTAAATGGCTGCACGGCGGTTGCATGAGGCCTGGGGCACTGTGGAATTTGGCCTTATTTTACCCCAAGGTCATGACATAAGAAGCTCAAATTTTGTCATAACTGAGTTCACACACACGCCAACTCACCATGTGAATTTGGTGTACCTCACTATCTATGTTTTCCAGATCTCGGGGGGGGGGGGGGGGTTAACCTGACCCCCACCTGAGCGAAGGGCATTCAACCGGCCACCTGGGCGTGTGTTAATGGTGACTGTCCAGCAGACTGATCAGGCATCTTGTCCAATACACACGCACACACGCACGTACGCACGCACGCACGCACGCGCGCGCGCGCGCGCACACACACCCACACCCACCCCCACACCCACACACACACGTCCTTTTCCGCACACTTCCATCAGCATTTTCAGTGATCACAAAGTATAAGCAGAGCAAACAGCTTGTTGGTTATTTCAATATGGATGGCGGGTATGCCACCTTGTTAATATAATGTACATTTTTACTACACATGCATATATATATATATATATATATATATATATATATATATATATATATATATATATAATATACCCGTAAACATTGGATAAGGCCCAGCGACCACTGACCCGCGAATTCGGGACATGGCTGGCGGATTTCATATTCTCATTTTCCTTTGCTTGGGCATCTCATTTTATTTTTATTTTTACCTGCTGAAATATGGCCATTCGCCACCTAATCACACAATACGTTTCTCAAGAGCTCACAGAAAAATGCGGCCTGAAACGTCTGGCAGCGATTGCCAGAGCGTTTTTACCGTTTTCAAAGCGAGGACGTAGTGGTTCCATACCCACAACGTCCGAGAAGTCCACTAGACCTCACGCTAGGCCCATCCCGAGCCGGTTACCAGGTCACATTCTCTGTCCGTCTCGACAGCGAACTTGAAACCTTCCAGGTGTTTCTTGTAATGTCCGAGGCAACTTTATCTGCGACGATCCACGGAGCATATTAAACGGGACAACACATCAAACATATTTGGTGCTTCTTACAGGCTAAGACACTTTTGACGCGAAGGCTGGCGACCTTTTCACTGTTTCGTCAAGCTTGGCTTTGAAGAGTTCACTGTTGATGGGCGCTGCTGGTTGGCAGGCTGGGTTCCTGATGACGTACTCAACGTACACCTGAAACGACGCAAGTAACTTAAACTTCAAACAGCTTATCAGTTTCGCCACCCTCTCATGCGCAACTTAACCGCCCCACTGTCTGAACAACACTCGGGGAGTGATGGTGAGTCTGCTGAAGGGCTCGGGGGCCGTTCTGAAGGTTAAATCATCCCTACAGTGCTTCTCTGGCTTCTAGCTTATTGCCATTCCGCAGCATCCAGCCGTTGCAACACCATTCTCCGTTCACAATACAGACTCCCCATCCTTACAATGTGCAGCTATCATCAGTGGCGTTGCCTGGCGCGCGCTCCTATTATCGCTCTTGTTATGCTCCTGTTATGCTCACAAACAAAATATCCATTAATGCTACATTAAGTAAGCCAATGTTTGTCTCTGTCTGGTTTGAGTGAGCTTCCCGCAGACCGTTCCGTCCTTGCACCATCTGAGTCACACCAAATTGTCCTGCTTTTTAGCATCCCATGCTTCTGACAGACTACTACTTGACTCTAGTTGAACAGCAAACCTGACTCTGACCCACAATGCAGAGGGTTATTCCCATTCTGGTCTCACTTGACCTGCTAGTTGAAGCTGATTCCACACCTGTCCCCCACCACCAAAATATCAGTGAATCTGACTGACTTCAGCAAACTTGACAAAATTTCAGAGCTGACTCTAGGTCTGAGACAGCTGACTCATTCATTTTCTCTATTGTCTGAACACATTTTCCCCACACTGTGATGCATCAACAAAATCCCCACAAATATGGTCCTCCTGACCACAAAGCACTATGTGATAGCTACCACCAAGGCCAACATGGTCCTCTGGGTATGGATGGGTCCAGCCCAACATCTCCATGGCAAAAACATGTCAACTGCTCACTAATGAGGTGGAGCCATCTTCAATTTTACAGATCCCCTTTGATTTCATGAGGCTGGTTCCTCCCTCCCAGTAATACATGGGCCTGATGGTGACCCCCAACAGTGACATCACCAGCAGGCCATCTGAAGGCACTCCCCTCCCCCTGGCACCATTATTAAGTCCACTAAGATGATCATAGGTTCAAACCAACCAAGAGCAGATACATTCAGGGTCACACTCACACTGCCTGACTTTATTGCATGTGGAGATGCCAAACCCTGATCAACCTATTTTACTTCCCAATCACTGACTATTCAATTTCACGCCACTTGCCAAGTATGCCCTATTATATAAATAGCACTGTTTGGTGCCATCACTACACTGCCCTGAACATGGGCACATATGTTTCCAGGGTTAGTTCAAAATAAAGTGTGATATCTTATATCTGAGCATAATGCACTATTTCATATAACATTTCTGAAGATATAATGAGTCTAGGAGTAGCTTCTGGAAAAATACTCAACAGCCTTCTTACCTGACTGTAAAGCTTTTGCAGCAGTTCATGCACACCAGGAGCATTGCAATCAGTGTTGCAAACAAATTTCAGTGAGGTAGGTGTCTCATAGAGTGTCATCTTATACTTGTTGGTCATGAAAGATTGGACTCCATCTTGGACATCTAGTGGTGATATGCGGTTGGAGAATGATTTCAGGGAGAAGAGCATCCCATATAACAGGCGTGCCTCCTGAAAACAGTGATGAGCTGATCATTTCATGAACTGAATGATCTGCAATTAAAACAAAACACTATCAATGCACAATGCCATTGTATACCAGTCAGCTTGATTTTTTAGAGTGCATCATGCCTATCCACTCATTATCAAGTTGCAATCCTGGAAACCCTAGTAAGCCACATTTGGTTCCAAATCCCCTTCAATGCATGCATATACCTACAAGACTCACTTTGGGCGCTGCATGACCTTCAGCAGTCGATGCGCCCTCAAACCCCAAATCATCATCATCATACAAGACTCACTATCATGATCAGCAGCCAGAACAACAGTGCATGCTTTAAGTGAAGCCAGACCTAAAACTATATCAGGAATTCCATGGGGCGTAGTATGAAAAGTAATAAACTCACCTCATCGAGGGACATCGTCATAGGTTTTTTCCTTGACCACTCCTGATAATAAATAAGGACACCATCACGGTTGTAAATGTACAAATTAAACACGGTCATAACACTGAGGAAAAGCCGCCTTGAAAGTACGCTACTTTGTGTGCCAACAGACTCAGCCGCTACTGACTTACAGCACACCACCGGACCGCGGCCCCGAACCCGCGACAGATCCCGTGTTAGTCAAGAGCCGTAAACAAAATGTAGAACAGTGCTGAAGAAGTTTGACGAATAAACGAACCTTATTTGTGTCAGGCGCTATGGGAATATGCAGGGGAGACACCGTGTTTTAAGGATCTTCAATTTTTGATACCTTGAAATAATATTATTTTTGCCTTTTGCAAGGTACAGCGGAAATCGCTACTTAACATAGTTATGATAAAAATTAAAGTTACACCTAAAATCAAATGAATCGTATATTCGATACATTTGCTGCGCTCTCGTTTCTTTTGGAGCCGCTGTCTATCCAATAGCGTTCAGTGGTTCACATGAACGGGATGAATATTTCCCGGCAGCCACTGGCGGGTCGTGCGGAGTATAGCCTGATAGTAAGTTGAGTATTTATCATAAGAAAGAACACATCTCATCATAAGATGAGGTTTTCGTACCTTTTTCATATTCTCAAAGTGCTACAGCACTTAAGTATGATATGCAGACAAGCATTATTGATGATTCCTGCCAGACATTGACTGTATAATGTTACCCTTGGCCCTGACAACTTTGAAACCCTATTGCTGCACTGTTAATGTTGATACCATGCTGAAAAACGTGGTAATATCTCAGATACCAGCAGTACATTATTAGACAGAGACAGACTTTGCAAAAGAGAGGTGGGAGGTAGGCCATGGCATATAGCCTTAGTAGCTGAGTGCATTCTAAAATCCTTATGTTGACAGCAACAAGAGTATGGTAATAATGAACATCACATATCGGCTTTTTTTTACTTGGGTACCTGTATTGCCGACGGTGGGGAGAGAGCTACGCTGGCTGCAGGGTTCCTGTACTGCCATGATGAAGAAATGCTGTTAGGTATCAGCCGACGTAGTGACGTCACTGAAAATGGGTTTGCATCGATCTGGGTTCTTTTGGGCCGACTGAAGGCTACAAGGCATTTGCTAGCGATATGATGTCACTGGTATTCGACTGGATATGTGACGTCACTGGCTGTGAGGCTTTAGGGCTCTTTTGGGTGCAATGAATGCCGTAAAGCATCACCTGACGATATGTCGTCGCTGGTATTCAATGAAACATCAGGCGCAACGGGCCTTATTCCATCTTTACCTTTCGTACCTGTCTGCTGCAAGCATTTGCGTGCCGAATAAAAGCTTGACCGAATCACCTGAATGTGTGACGTCACCAATCACCACTTGATACGAGTGCACTTAGACCCCATGGCCGCGGTGTATCATGTTCCGTGAAATATCACTGGGTATCGTGACGTCACTGATATTCGTCTAAATATTGGTCGCAACAGGTCAAGGTTCATTTTTAGCTTCGTACCTGTCTACTGCAAGCACTGGCGTGATGAATAAAAGCTACCAAATCACGTGAGTGTGTGACGTCACTGGTCATGCATTTTTATGGATCTTTGGGGGCCAACTGAGGGCCGTAAAGCATAGCCTAATGATGTGACGTCACTGGCATTCGACTGTGTGTGATGTCACTTGTGATCAGATTTTACGGCCTCTTTTGGGCCGACGAAAGGTCATACTACATTAACTGAAGATGTGCCGTCACTGGTATCCGAATACAATTCAGGCGGCCATGGCCATGCTCCATCTTTACCTTTGGTACCTGTCCATTGCAAGTATTTAAATGCCGAAGGAAGGGTCTGCCGAATTACCTGAGTGTGTAACGTCACTAACCATTAATTTGCATAGACTGTTTTGAACCCACTGTAAGCCATACCACATCAGCTGACCATATGACGTCACCGGTTTTCGTCTAGGTGTCATGCGCAACAGGCCATGCTCTATCTTTGCCTTTCGTACCTGTTTACTGCAAGCATTCGCGTGCTATATCAAGGTGATGCTGAACCATCTGAGTGCGTGACGTCACTGGTCATGAGTTTATACAGGTTCACTTGGGCAGCCCAATGCAACAAAGCATCATATCCTGTAAAGCATCGCGGGATGATATGACGTCACTGGTATTCGACTCAACATCAGGCGCAACAGGCCATGTTCCATCTTTACCTTTCGTACCTGTCTACCGCAAGCATTCGCGTGTTATATCACATCATTGGTTAAGAGTTCTTACGGGCTCTTTTCAACCCCCTATATGGTATAATGCTTCAGTTGACGATATGATGTCACTGGTGTTCGACTTAGCATCAGGCACAACATGTCATGTTCCATCCTTGCCTTTCGCACCTGTTAAAGTATTGGCGAGCCTAATGATGGCTCTGCCGAATCACCTGAGTGCGTCATCATGAGTTTTTACAGGCTATTGTTGGCCGGGAAAGCCATTAGGCATCATCTAACGATATGTCGTCACTGGTAATCCACTAAGTGTGTGACGCCATTGGTCATGAGTTTTCCCGCGCCTTTTTGGGCCGACTTAAGGCCATTAGGCATCAGGTAACGATATGACGTCACTGGTATTCAATTAAGCATCAGATACAATATGTCATGTTTCATCTTTACCTTCCGCACCTATCTACTGCAAGTATTCGCGCGCCACATAAAGGCTCTGCCCAATCACCTGAGCGTGTGGTGTGACTGGTTATGAGTTTACGCGGGTTTACCCGGGCTGACTGAAGGACATCAAGCATCATCTGGCGATGTGACGTCACTGGTATTCAACTTAACACCAGGCGCGACAGGCCATGTTCGTCTTTACCTTTCGTACCTGTCTATTGTAAGCATTGACATGCTTAAGGAAAGCTCTGTGAAATCTCCTGAGTGTGTAATGTCACTGGTCATGAGTTCTTTACGGGCTGCTTTTTTGTACCTATAGGGTACAAGACATCAGTTGACGATATGACATCACTGGTATTTGACTTAATCTCAGGCGCAACAGGTCATGTTCCATCTTTGCCTTTCGCACCTCTATACTGCAAGTATTCGCGCGCTACATAAAGGCTCTGCCGAATCACCTGAGCATGTGGTGTAACTGGTCATGAGTTTACGCGGGCTTACTCGGGCTGACTGAAGGACATCAAGCATCACCTGACCATATGACGTCACTGATATTCGGGCTGTGGCCCAGACTTATGGCCGCTAGGCGGCGCCCTTGATTATTATTTAGCCATCAGGGCATTCCGGACCGTAGCTGCTCAGGGGCGCATCCTGTGATGTCGGGCGGAATAGCTTTGCATATACGTCGGTTTGTGGGCTGGGATCACCTTTGTTTTGTGTTTACGTTTGTTCAAAATTTTAGTCGTTGAAACAGCCCGTTGCGTTTGAAGTTGTTACTTAATGGTGCGCACAATAAAATTAGTGTGCTTAACTATGGTGCATCTCCCACCTCTGCTGCGGAACTCCGTAGCCGTAGGTGGCCAAGTGACCTCCTACCAACTGATGATCAGTGACGTCACATACTCAGGTGATTCGGCGGAGCCTTCATATAGCACGCGAATATTTGCAGCAGCCAGGTACGAAAGGCAAATATGGAGCATGACCTGTTGCGCCTGATGTTTAGTCGAGCACCAGTAACGTCATGTCGTCAGCTGATGCATTATAACCTAAAATGGGTTCAAAGGAGCCCGTAAAAAACTAGTGACCAGTGACGTCACACACTCAGGAGATTCGACGGAGCCTTCATTCAGCACGTCAATACCTTTAATAAACACGTACAAAAGGTAAAGAAAGTACGTGGCATGTTGGACCTGATGTTAAGTCGAATAACAGTGACGACATATCATCCTGTGATGCTTCACGGGAGGTGTTGCTTTGTGGCCTTGGGCGGCCCAAGTGAATCCGTATGAACTCATGACCAGCGACGTCACCCACTCAGATGATTCGTCTGGAGTTTAGTCGATTACCAGTGACGTCATATCGTCAGCTGATGCTTGATGTCCGTCAGTCAGCCCGAGTAAACCTGCACAAACTCATGGCCAGTTACACCACACGCTCAGGCGAATCGACAGAGCCTTTTTGTAGCGCACGAATACTTGCAGTAGGCAGGTGCGAAAGGTAAAGATGAAACATGGCTTATTGCAACTGATGTTAATTCGAATACAAGTGACGCCATAACGTTATCTGATGCCTAATGACCTGAACTCGGCCAAAAAAGGCCCGTAAAAGCTCATGACCAGTGACGTCACACACTCAGTGGATTACCAGTGACGTCATTTCGTTCGCTGATGCCTTATGGCTTTCGCTCAGCCAAAAATAGTTGGTAAAAATTCATGACCAGTGACGTCGCACACTCAGGTGACTCGGCAGAGCCATCATTTAACACACCAATACTTTACAGGTACGAAAGGCAAAGATGGAACATGACCTGTTACGCCTCATGTTAAGTCGAACACCATTGACATCATGTCGTCAACTGATGCATTTTTCCCTATAGAGGGTTCCAAGGAGCCAGAAAAAACTCATGACCAGTAACGTTACACACCCAAGAGACTCGACAGAGCCTTCATTCAGCACGTCAATACTTGTAATAGACGGGTACGAAAGGTAAAGATAGAACATGGCCTGTCGCGCCTGATGTTAAGTCGGACACCAGTGACGTCATATCATCACCTGATGCATTATACCGTTTGGGGGTACAAAAGGTCCCGTAAAAAGCTCTTGACCAGTGACGCTACTTACTCAGGAGACTCGACAGAGCCTTCATTCAGCACGCCCATACTTCCAAGAGACAGGTACGAAAGGTCAAAATGGAACATGGCCTGTCGCGCCTGAAGTTTAGTCGAATACCAGTGACGTCATATCGTCAGCTGATGCTTGATGTCCCTCAGTCAGCCAGAGTAAACCCGCGTTGACTCATAACTAGTTACACCACACGCTCAGGTAATTCGGCAGAGCCCCTGTGTCGCGCGAATACTTGCAGTAGATGGGTGCGAAAGGTACAGACGAAACATGGCTTAGATGGAGCATGGCCTGTTGCGCATGATGTCTAGTCGAAACCCAGTGACATCATATCGTCAGCTGATGCCTTGTGGCCTATAGTAGGCTCAACAGAGTGTGCAAATTAATGGTCAGTGACGTACGCACTCAGGTAATTTGGCAGAGCCTTCCACGGCAATGCTTGCAATGGACAGGTACCAAAGATAAAGGTGGAACATGGTCTGTCGCGCCCAAAGTTCATTCGAATACCAGTGACGTCACATCTTCAGTCATTGCCGTATGACCTTTCGTCGCCCCAAAAGAGGCCGTAAAACCTCATGACCAGCGACACGCACAGTCGAGTGCCAGCGACGTCACATCGTTAGCTGATGCTTTATGGTCTTCAGTTGGCCGCACAGAAAATCCGCCAATACTTGCAGCAGACATGTACGAAAGGTATAAATGGAGCATGACCTGTTGCCTGATGTTCAGCCAAATACCAGTGACGTCATATCGCCAGCTGATGCCTAACGGCATTTCGTCGGTCCTATAGGGCCCGTGGAAACCCACGGCCATTGACGTCTTACAGTCGTATAGCAGTGACGTCGTTAGCTGACACCTTGTGGTCTTCAGTTGGCCGAAAAGCACCGTTGGAACTCATGGCCAGTGATGTCACACACTCAGGTGGTTCGGCAGCTTTCATCCAGCACGCCAATGCTTGCAGTAGACAAGTACAAAGGTAAAAATGAAGCACGGCCTGTTGCGCCCAGTTTTTATTCGAATATCAGTGACGTCACGCTATCCGGTGATACTTTGCGGACCACGACACACCGTGGTCGTGAGGCCTAAGTGCACTCGTATGAAGTGATGATTAGGGACGTCACACATTGGGGCAATTCGGTCAAACCTTTATGCGGCACGCAAATGCTTGCAGCAGACAGGTACGAAAAGTAAAGATGGAACGAGGCCGGCCGCGCCTGATGTTCAATCGAATACCAGTGACGACACATGGCCAGCTGATGCATTACGGCATTCAGTGGACCCAAAAGAGCCTTACACACTCACGACCAGTGACGTCACATACCCAGCCGAATACCAGTGACACCATATCACAAGCAAAAGCTTTATGGCCTTCAGTCGGCCCGAAAGAACCCCGATCCCGATCGATGCAAAACCATTTTCAGTGACGTCACAATGTTAGCTGATGACTCACAGCTTTTGCCCCGCACGACAATACTCGAAACCCTGCAGCTAGCGTAGCTCTTCCCTGCGTCGGCCATACAGGTACCCAAGTAAAAAATTACCCACATATCTTTATTATAAATGAGTTATAAGTCAATTGCAGTGCTGCTGATTTCAGTATTAGTTAATTACACAAGCAGTTTGGAATAGGACAGGTTTGTTGCATTTGATGGCTCAATGTCAGACAGTGTGCTATGCCATGCTTTTGCTTTCAAGGCCACATGCACAATGAAACTCATCCAAATTATGGCATTCCTTAAGACTTTCTTAGGCTTGGGCCTCATTCCAAAGTTAAGTTACAATGCCCAGCCTAGAGATTTATGCACCATGAGCATCTTCTCTCCATTGTCAATGCTTGGGCACTAAGGACTGATTATCTGAGATATGCTGGCATCACCTCCTTTGTTTCCATCAGAGTCATGTCAGATGACAACTGCTATGGACCAACCCTGCCACCATCAATGCGGAAGGCCTGTGATGTGGCTGAGCCCCGGGTAGGGCGTGCCAGCTCCGAGGAAGCCTCTGATGATGATTGCTACGGTCCCATCCTGCCGCCATCAATGAGGGCTCGACGCCAGTCAGACCCTCCTCCTATCGGCCCCAGCCGGCCGGACCCGGGCGGGTCGGTCGCGGCAGACCGGCCTCCCATCGGCCCCAGCCGGCCGGACCCGGGCGGGTCGGCGGCTGCGGACCGGCCTACCCACTCTGACCCAGACAGCTCGAGCGACGAGGATGCCTACGGGCCGGCGCTGCCACCCGGATTCGTGCGGCGCGCGCCGGCGGGTCCTGCGGTCAAGGGTCCGGCGCTGCCACCCGGAGGACTGCCGCCGCCCGCCGAGGACGAAGAGGACGAGGATGACATCATCGGGCCGCTGCCTCCAGCGGCCAGCGCGGATCTCGGCCAGTACGCGGCCGACGAAGTGGAGCGACGCGCCAGCAGCATGAAGGACAAGCTGGACGCTCTGGTAAGCTGGCAATGTGGGCTCCAGGTTGGTGTTCAATTGGCAACATGCTGCAGTATGTATGCCACCTTCACAGGCAGACTCATGTTTAATGACATAGTTATGGTATCATGTTTGAGTATATCTTGGGGCGCACAGCCTTCCCAGGGTCCCGTGTTTGTAGCAGGGATATTTCGGATCTTAACGCAGTGTCAAGGTGTAGCCTAGATTCAATTCATGGTTCTTTGCTTTCATGTTTGAAGATATTAAAACAAGCATCAGAGATGTTGAAATAAGCTGACTTATAACTATTCGTACACTTTTAAGTAGGAAAGACTGTTCTAGCCACCATAATTTCTCTGTTGAGCAAATATGCTCCTCGATGCGTCATTGTTTGATTGCGTCATCTTGCCTTGCACAACATTGGTTGAGAACCAATTGAAGGCCATTATATCTGGAAACCATGCTCACGAATGCTGGATAAGAAAAAAAAATCGAGCATGATATTTTTCTCGGCCTTGGTCGTCACATGAAATATGAAATGGCAGTGTTTCAACGACGTTATGATGACGTGATGAATGCCAAGGTCACCTTGGAATACCCTTCCCAGAATACTCTCCTTATTTTCGCGGCCGTGTAGCTCAGAAAGTAGATGGGCTTAGGTTTTTGGAAGGGCAGGGCTGTGAAATGCATTGAAAGTTCTCCAGGAGAGCTGGTTCAGTTCAAACCCCTATATAAATGTGGAACACGCCCTTTAACTGGCAGGACATGATTGAAACTGTTGGAAGAAAGGCAAGGCTTATATAGCTGTTTTATTATGAATGTGGGTTGATCTTATCCATGCAGTTCTACATCTAAGAGCAAAACTGAATTCTTAAGATGCTCATGCTGCGAATCTGTTTAACTCTCGTACGAATACGGGTGTTACACAGGGGACACGTGGACTGTTCAGATGCCGCCTCGACGCCGCAGTGATGTCTGTGGATGTCTGGGGTGATCTCCCTCTGGGGGATATCAACCAGGCATCTGCCGTGTGAAAGCAGTCGTGTTCCAGGGCCGGCTGACGGAGCTGGTGCCGTGTTTGTGCGGGCCGTGTCTGCCTGTTGTTCGCTGTGTGACGACCGTGGCCTTCGGCCCGTGGACCATCCAACCGGTGTCCTCTGTGTAAAGCCTGTGACCTCTGGCCGCAGGGTCGGCCGGTGGAGCTGGTACGCGAGGAGTGGATGCTGGAGCTGCCGCCGGAGCGCGCCGGCGAGTTCGGCCTCGGCCCGCGCCAGTTTCGCCGCAGTGCCGCGCCGGAGCGGGGCGACACCAGCGCCTGGACTGAGGTGGCCTCCGACCAAAAACCGCGCCCTGCCGCCACTAGCAAGGTCTGGAGAACGGAAACCGGTGCACGGCCAGCGCAGCTGAGACTGCTGGACGTGCTGATGGGGTTTAACGTGTGCGATCCAGGCTTTAGCAGCGAACTGAAGGGGTCCCTGAAGGCGTCCCTGTTTGAATGGTATCTGAGCTGCTGTACGATTTGTTTTTGGCCTGCATTAGCATAGAATAAGCAGCAACTAACTTGTAATGCAACTGTAATGTGTAAGATGTTGTCATTTGGAACTCACACGCTAAACCGATCCTGATCGCGGGCTCCCGCGGTTGGCTGGCAACAACATGCACTTAAAACACATGTCTAAACCCGATTGCACGGGAACTTACACCGCGTTTCTGGCTTTTCCTTTTTTTGCTATCCCTAACCTGCTTGGCTTGTAATGCAACCTTCCTTACTTGTGATGGTTCACGTAATACTTCAAGGCTCTGAAGGGAGATGAGATTGTCTACTCTAACCATTTAGCGAACTTCTTCGCGCTGAGCCTGCTGAGCTGAGCTGAGTTGAATCTGCACTCGTGATCAGCAGAGTAGGACGGCGACGGCGGTGCAGGGATGACCCCGGTCTACCTCTCTGACCCTGCGCCCCACCCGCCAGCAGAAAAGGGCGGAGGCTGTGGTGGACCTGGCCACAAGACGGCGGGATGAGCGCATGGCCGAGGTGGCTGAGTCTCTGCAGGCCAGCAGGAAGGACTCGCTGCTCGACCTTCACCAGAAGAAGGTCAAGCAGGGAAAGGTGAGTTTCTTGTGCATTCACTTACGGGTAGGACCTGCATCTTAGTTGCATATGAATAATTATTCGTGAAATGTTATGTAGGTTTTCGCCAAAAAATACACCTTTATTTCGACACATTTCTCTGCATGCGGTACTTGTGCTGTGTGCTTGCATATTTCGTACTTTGTTACCAGTAGCAAAAACACTTTGGGTAACATCTTTGCCGTGGAAGCAAATAAAAGCGCATTTAACGTTCACTGTCGGCGCTTTAATGGATACTTGTCAAAACATTCACACGCCATTTGGCGTTTGGTCACTGACTCAATTCTTAGTCATTCGCATTTTCTTGTATGTCAACTTCTTACCTACTGCTGCTGGTTACTGCCATTCAGCCATTCCACTTAGTCGTGACTTAGTCGTAATAATATATTATTTGTCACAACCCAGTATTTCCTATGCTCAGTTCCTTGAAAGGCTCCCCATCTTCATCACACCACGCTGCCCCAGCAGCGCGAGCCCCGAATTCTGTGCCGAATTATCTACCGAATTATTTTGTCGAATTATTTGCCGAATTATTTACCTGCGCCTCGGCTGCGGTTTGCAGCCTGATCCAAACTGGTGACGGTCCCCTCCAACGCCTGGGACTCGGTTTGGCTCCCCCGCGTGGGGCCTGGACACGTGGGTTTCGCCCTCCGCTCCCACATGGGGGCCTCGGGCTTCAGACCCGGTTGCGTTGTGACCTCACAGCGCTAATGTGGCTTCTGCAGGCGCTGGCGCCCTCAAAGGGGCACGTAACGCCCTTTGTCACGTCCCCTTTTTAAGAACGAGACCTCCCCGCCTGCTGCTCAGCACGCTCCTTCTCCCTCCCCTCCCCCCCCCCCCCCCCCAGCTTGTCGTGCGGTCTGACCCTCCCCACCCCGCCTGCGCCACGCAGAAGGAGGCGGGAGACACTTCGAAGCGGCGCCAAGAGTTCGACCGGGACCGCGACCTCGGCACCAACCGTTTCGACGAGTCGCAGCGCGCCGCCGCCATCAAGCGCTCGCGCGGCGCCGCCGATATGTTCGGCGCTGGCGCGCAGAAGTTCCTGTAGCGCCGGCGGCGGACCTGATTTGGGCGGCGCGTCTTCGACACGGGGATTGGTTGGCGCCAGCTGCGCCGCGCGCCGAACCGAGCCCGGCCTGCCGAGTTTGCTGTGGTGGCTCTGTTTGCATAATGCCGTGCTGGGCGATGTGTACCGTGCCAAGCGCCCTCTTCCATGCAAGATGCCCTGACACATCAAAGGGGTGTTGTAAGGACCGGCGCGGTATAAGTCGTGCCATGTATTGGATTGTTAAATGCATTCAGTGCCTCAACACATGCTGTGCTGGTGTGGTACAGCGGTCCTGAAGTATGCTGTGTTTCATCTAAGGCTGGTTTTGCCTTGGCGTTTGTGCGGAATGTTTGCAAGGTTTTTGCACATCTGCCATCTGGCTCGGGCTGCGTTTCGACTAAATATTTTTCTCATTTTCACTATTCAAACATGGACTGCCTGACATTAAAGTGTTTGCTGCCATGTGTATCATTTCAGTGGATAATGGACGCTACGGCGCTAGCCCGCGTTATGCGTCATACGATGATGTTGGTAGGTTGCTACGAGTGAAGCATATCAAATGTATGTGATCATGTTTTGTCTCGACAATATTACAATACACGTAGAATGCGACTGTGCGTCCGGTCTCTCTATGTTTGAATCCGTGGTGGAGTGGTCTCCGCTGGCTTACTTTTGCTCGATACGCCGGCTTACGTTGTTACGGTTCTGCGCCAAACAGTCAATTTGCTTTCGTCCGCCTTACTTGTTTCGATGCATGGTTATTCTGGTTCGCGCTGACTCACGCCTCGCATTAGACCTAACCCACTTTCTAATGCAGGGGTCTCACTGAAGGTCAGCAAGGACCTGGCGGTCTCTCAGAGGGATCTAGACGCCTTAAGAAACTGTTTTTAATGCTTATTCCATACCATAACATCTCAATTTCTGAACAGAGGAATCCACAAAACACCAGGTTTTCGACTTCACCGGCCGAATTACGGCGTTCATGAAATTATCGCTTTTCGCACGACAGGTCCCAAGTGTTATGAGGGCTGGTTGCATATAAATTATGGTCTCATTCAGCACTTCGAGTTATTTTGCCTTGAAATTGAATAATTTCTGTTCGACTGATGTGTAAACAAGTGACATCGATCCAGTCGTCGTTGAAATTATTTGGCAGCAGACAAGGGCAGTGAATTAGAATGGCTCAGCTGCATCCTCGGCGCGGAAACCACTTTTGTTTTTGATGTGGGCGTTTGTTGGGGTCGGGTCGCGCGCCGGAGAAAATGCAGAATTTTCCAGTTGATGATGGTAGTGCTACTAACCTTCTGCATAAACTTTGCACCAGGATAACTAGGAAAAAGGGAGGTAAGTTCTCATGACTTTTGTACCTCGGACAAGATTAAATGGGCCCTTCTTCCCAGAGGTGAAACAACTTGCATTTTAGTGCACCTGGGAATTTAGATGTTTATTTTAGGATTCCCTTCTATTTAAATGTAGTGCCAGGCGCTTGTTTGAAATTACATTGAAAAGAGTGCAAGGTACTTGGAGAAAGTTTCCTGAGTGGGTTTAAAATTGGACTGCTTGTGTCGTCAAACTTCACGTTATACCCATGAAACTATGTCCCGGGCTGCAGAAAATATGTGCCTTGTGCATGCCAGGTATAGCAGGGACGTTCTGGAAACAAGTAAAATATGTGTATGTAATCACATTTGAGTGATCTGGTTTTGGTGCATTGTTACCACCAGCTCCAGCATACAGAGCCAATGTCTCAAGCCATGATGAAGTTGCCTAGCTAAATCCAAAAAAGGTACTCTCAGATAATTGATGATTTATCTATTGAGTTGAATGATTTCCAAGTCAGCCCAGTTCAGCCTGTCCTAAAGTAAGCACACAGCCTTACACACCAGGCTCAGCTCACTGATGTTCTGCAGGTGTGTAATGTAGGATTGTGGTAGGGTGGATGCATCTTTTGCAGGTGGGATCAGATCAACTGCCTGATATGTCTGTTTTGACTGAGGCCCACTGAATCCAACCCAGTACCTATCCAATATTGTTTCTAGTGAATAGTTTTGTTGAAACTGCAAGATAAACTGCAACAGATGTGTTACAGCAACAGTGAAACTGCAATATTGTGCTATCCACCTGGCACGCTGCTGTGCACACAGATAAACACCCTGATCTGCAAACCATGGCAAAGACATGAATGATTTGGAGCAGCTTGAATCCTTTCTCATTTGCAACAGCTTTTTACAGTGTAGACTCTACTTTATCACCAGATTTAACATGGCTGGGTGGGGGGTCAAATTGACCCCCCAAAGATTTTTCCGGAATGGCTTCGGAATAGCGTGGCTTAGCAGAACCCAATTTTGCATAGCTGTAGGCAATTGATTAGAAGGTTGTTTGACTTAAAAAATTAGATGTACCTTGTAAGGTCGCTGACCTATGGCAAGTCAAAGCCAAGCCATGGTCTCAGCGAATGCAATTTCTAGGGGATTGTTCAATCTGATGCAATGACAGAGTGTTTGATGAAGCCGTACATCTCTGAAATGCTTTCTTAGGCAATACAAATATTGAATAAGCAAATTACACTGACCTAAGGTCAGGTATGAAGGTCAAACCAAGGTCAAAACCAACCTGTTTTGTCACTTTAGGGCTCGCTGTATGGGACAGTTTCTGGTGCTCATTTGGAATTTATTGATAGCAGGAACCACATTATACATCTTCCATGGACTTGTTAGGTGTCAGAATACATTATTCACCCAAGACAACCCAGGTCAACATTTTGTTTTTAGGAGCATACTGCCTAGCGTAATCTTTGTCGCTTATTCAAATACAAAACTCAGCAGTCTTGTATGATTTTGGTCACCATGACCTTCAAAAGGTTAAGCAAGGTCACTAACCTTAAATGTGCTTGGGACCTATTACTTGGAAACAGTTGTCTAGGTTCTGGGGGCAATTTGGAGACCAACCTGGAACTTGTCCTTGTTGATATTAATTGACCTGAAGGTCATGACCTAGGAATCTCAAACTTTGACCTAAGTGAGTTCACATGCAGGTCAACACACCCTGTGAATTTGATGTCTCTAGCTCTCTTTCCCGAGATCCCAGTGGGAATCAAATTGTCCCGCCCCCCCCCACCCGAGCAAAGGGTGTCTAGCTGGCCACCCAGGCACGTGTTAAGATGCCCCAAGATAACAAGCTACTCCACAACAAAACATTTTAATTAAAATTTCTAAAAGCTGCTCTGAATGCAACAGTTATCAAGAACCTGTCCTGTCCTATTGTCAACCCACAATGGGGTGTTGAGTGACAGGTTAGTCCAGTGTTCATCTCTATAATCTTGAGTATATTGATGGTCTCAAAACAGATGACACACAGTGAAAATGTTCTAGTCACTCACAGTGCTATCTTCAAAGTGATCCATGCACATTTCCACAGACTGAAGCATGAAGCAGCATTCATTGGTATGCTCAAATTGGTTTTTCAGATGAAGTGCTTCCATTCTTCTACCGGACAATCCAGCAATTGTCTGGTGCTGATGGCATGGCAAAGAAGGAATACAACATGTTCATCATTGGGGAGCAGATCAAGAAGTTGCTGGCCAAGAATGGCAGAGAGCGTGATGCTGTACACTTTGGAGATCTGCTGAGAAGACTCCAACACAGCGTAGGTTTCGTGTGCACAGCAGCAGTTGTTGCCTTACAAGTGTTATGGTTGTAGTTGGTTATTGGGTCTTTACATGCAAAAAGGTCGCTTGTGTATGGCAGATCCCATACCTGGCTGTAAGTTTAACCTGTCAGTATGCTGGTTTGATATCCATGTGATGAAGTGCATTTTTCATGCATCACTTCATGTTTACATGTTAAGTCGTGAGTTAAGCCCACACCATTGATCCCATATATTTTCACACTGCCATCGCTCATACGCAGCTCCAAGCCACCTCACAAGTGTGCCATTGTGTCCACGTCGCGACGCCGGCCGCTCGGCCCGTGAGCACCGCTGACCCCGCCCCCTCCCCCAGCCTGTGCTGCGCAGTCAGGCGTCCGTGCTCTGCTTCCTGCTGCATCTGAGCCGTCTGGGCGGCGCTGATGCGGCTCCGTTCCAGCGTCTCGCTCCGGTCGCTGCCCTGCCCAGCCTCGTGAGTCTGTCGAGCTCGGCCTCTGGGGAGCAAGTGTCAACACGCTGTGATGCGTGAAGTCTGTCAGCTGCGGGCGGCCCAGTTCGCGGTGCGCCTGCGCTGTCTGCGCCGCCGTCATCTACGGGGTCTGCCCGACTGACCGTGTCCCCCTCCCACAGCGGCCGGCGGCCCCCCGCAGCCGAAGCACGCGATGCCAGCGGAGGCTCAAATGAAGGCTCTCTGGCATGGTTATTTGTCCTGATCAGTATGGGATGATGTACAATGCAGTATAGTGTAAAGGACTGTACTAAGAAACATTGGATGGTGCTTTGTGATTATGAGGCTGGTTTGTCAGTGTTATAACTGTATTTTTGTTTTTACTATTTTGATCTTATATGCTCTCATTCAGTTTTGCGCCGTGCAATCCAGTTCTAACAGCCTGCACTGTGGACCGTTTCCAGGCAAAGAACACTCTGATTGAATCCCAGCAGGCGTCCAACGTCACCAGTGGCTTTGTTTCGGCCTCCGACCTGATTTTGGCGCCGCCACTCTTGGCAAATGTCCCCCAAGGTATGCTGTATGTTAGAGGCAGGGTAAGCTCTCAGCAGTACTGGCACTGCTGTGCTCGTATCTAATTCCGATATTTTAGGCGCGAACGTGCCCCTGAACCTGCAGCCCCACCAATAAACATATATATATTTCACACATGCTGCTATGAGCCAGGGAGCCAGTGTAAACACGCTGTGACGCGTGAAGTCTGTCAACTACCGGCGGCCCAGTTCGCGGTGCGCCTGCGCTGTCTGCGCCGCCGTCGTCCGTGGGGTCCGCCCGACTGACCGTGTCCCCCTCCCGCAGCGGCCGGCGGCGCTCCACAGCCGGTCAGCAACGGCACGCGACAGCCACCCCGCCAGCCCTTCACCAGTGAGTGGCGGCTGGGGCGGGTGCAGTCGGTCTGCCGCCCCCTGCTGACGATCAGCGCTGCGGTGTGATGCTGGGACTGGGCGCAGTCGGAGCTGCCGCTGCCGATCTGACCGCTGGGAGTCGTGCTTACGTTGGTCGACCAGGTAGCGACCGCCGGTTTTGCGTTGCGTGGCGCTGGCCACGCTGCTTAACCGGACAGTGTGTCAGCGTCTAAAGGCTGTCTTGCTGTCCGCCCGGCGCTGGCGGGGACCTGACAGGCCAACCCGCTTAATCGGACAGCGTCTGAGAGCTGTCTGGCCATCTGCCCGGCGCTGGCGGCGACCTAAGGTCGGCGCTGGCGGCGACCGCTTAACCGGACAGTGTGTCAGCGTGTGAGAGCTGTCTCGCCGTCCACCCGACACCGGCTGACCGAGGTGCATGTGCTGGACGACCCACAGGTCAGACAGAGCTGTCGGAGCAGACGCTGCTCAGGGAGGTGCTGTACGCCTTCCAGGGCATCGAGGGCAAGTACCTCAAGTCCAACGCCAAGCGCGACCACGTCACCATCGACCCCAAGGTCAGCGGACAAACGGCGCACTGTCGGCCCGCCCACAGGCAGCCGGCACACGTCACGGCGTGCGCGCTGGGAATGGCCGGAGTGGTGGCTTACGCCCTCAGTCTCGGCTGCAAGTCTTGTATTATACACCAGCAAAGGACGCAACCTAATGTATCATGCAGACCAGTGCGGGATTCGATGGACGTTTTCGTACCGTCATCGGTACCGTCATCGGTCGTCAGTTGACACGAGTGGTGCCGTGACAGCAGAGGTTGGCTTCGCTCGGCCACCCAGCGGACGGGACGGGCTTCGTCAGTGTGCGCCGGTCTTCTCCACTGTGGCTTGGATGTAGTCTCACCCAGCACAAAACCAGCTGTGTGATGACCACCTTTTTTGTCGTGAGGCGTGAATCCATTGCGATGTGGTCGGCTGATTTGTGCTATTCAGCGCTTGTGGGCTTCGTGGTTTCGAAATCGGGGGCTGCTTCTTTACTTGTTCTGCGATTTGGTGGGTCGGCGGTGCTATTTCCAGAGGGCACTTGGCAGGGGGGGGGGGAGGGGGGTCGAATGGGGGTAAAAGCGCGACTCATTCTACTATCCTTCATGAATGGTGGCGTCGGTGAGCGACAGTGCAGCTTGTCGCCGTCACCAGGTGTCGTCGTCATCAGTCTGATCCGTCACCGTTTGTTAGTGTCACCAGTGTTGTCGGTCACCAGTTGTTGGTGTCCTCGATGTGATCTTTCGCTAGCTGTCATTATCATCAGCGTGGTCCATCACCAGTGGCTAGTGTCACTGGTGTGGCTATCACCAGGTGTCAGTGTCTTCAGCGTGGCCCATCACCAGGAGTCAGTGTCACTGACTCCTGGTGATGGGCCAAGGAGTATGGACCAAACCATAACCAGGAGTCAGTGCCACTAGTGTGGTTCATCACCAGCTGTCAGTTTCACCAGCGTGGATGGTCACCAGTTATCAGTGTCACTAGCGTGTTCATCACCAGGTGTCAGTGTCACCAGCATGGCCCATCACCAGGAGCTGGTGTCACTAGCATGGCTTGTCACCAGGTGTCAGTGTGACCAGCGTGGCCCGTCAGTAGGTGTCATTGTCACCAGATATTGGTGTCACGAGGTGTCATTGTCGCCAGGTGTCGTTGTCACCAGGTGTCAGTGTGACCAGTGCATCCCATTATTGGGTGTCACTATCACCAGGTATGTGTCACCAGCATGGCCACTCACCAGGTGTCAGTGTGACCGGCGTGGCCCGTCAGTAGGTGTCAGTGTCGCCAGGTATTGGCGTCACGAGGTGTCGGTGTCACCAGGTGTCAGTGTGACCAGCGTGAGCCGCACCGCCGCCAGGTCTCTGTGAGCGGCAGCGTACGCGGCACGGTGCTGCGGCTGGTGGAGCTGGGCTGGCTGTACGGCCGTGTTCGGCTGTTCTGCCGCTCCGTGGCCGCCCGGCCCGACGCCGGCCTGCTGGCCCAGAGTCTGGCCTCCGCCCTCCGCGAGCAGCTGCAGCAGTTCTACCGGCTCATAGCGCTGATGGAGGCCCAGGTGGGGGTTGCTACCAGGTGGTGGCACTGATTAGGGTACAATTGAGGAGTATCGCTGGCTCATATGGTGATGGCAGATTTCCAAAATGGATGAGGTGGGGTGTGAAAGGTGTAATTATAAATTCATGCTTCCAGACTTCTGGCTCCCGGTGCTCTCCGCACGCTTCACATCTCGTCGGCGACTTATCCGTTGTCCTTTGACCCCAAGCCGTGACATCCTGAGATACCCGATGGATTTGCCAAGCCCGAGGCGCCCGTATGCTAGGCTGACCGCCGCCCGGCTCGATGCTGGTCGGTGGACTCTGAGGCAGAGGATAAGCAACAGACAGTGAAGTCGAAGCCAGGAGTGCACTGACATTCCGCCGAACAGTGGTCGAGTATTGCCCCAGTCGCGCGTAGTTATATTTTTAGGTGTCATATTGGAATTAGACTTTGATGCGAATTCTTGTGACGACAGTTATTTATTGCAGCGTCGAATACCAACAAGATCTGAACGATAATGGCCTTTTGTTTCTGAGGGGTGGGGGTGATGTTCAAATCTGGTGCGATGCACTATTTTCCCTGGACTGGCCGCCCGATAGCTAGCCTGCTCGTGTGCGCCCTGCGAGCGCCGCGTCTGTCCCCCAGCTGTCGGGCGGCGAGTCGGGCGGCGAGCGGCTGATAGCTAGCCTGCTTGTGTGCGCCCTGTGAGCGCCGCGTCTGTCCCCCAGCTGTCGGGCGGCGAGTCGGGCGGCGAGCGGCTGACGCTGCGCCGCCTGCACGTCTGGACGCTGGACCCGTTCTTCCAACTGCGCTTCCTGGCGGCGCTGACGGACGCGTGCGGCGGCGAGACGGGCGGCGCGCTCGCCTCCGTGCTGCACCGCCACCTCAGCCACGGCGACCCGGCGCTGGTGCGCACCGTCCGACACCTGCTTAGCAAGGTCAGCTGGCGGCGCGGGCGGCCGGGCGCACGCGTCGGCGTCGGGCGAGAGACTCAGCTAGGTCGCTGGGGTGGGGGAGGGGCGAGGTGTGCGGTTGGCGCTGCTCTTGCTGAGCCGGCGAAAGCCTGGTGTCGTGTTACGGTAAACTCTGTTCAGGAGGGCTCTAGCCAGATCTTAGTTATTCCTAGCTAGTTGATGTTAGTCATGCGGTACCGATTTATTCTTCACGGATGTTCAGATTCGCCCAGCATGAGAAGGTGAATGCTGGACGCCTTGTTACATCTCCATTGGTGGACTGGTGAACGAATGTTCGATACGCTAAGCAAGTGGATGAATGACGTCATGCTTTGACGTCTCCTCCGCTGACAGACCTGTGAGCCCATGTTCATCATGCTGAGCCAGTGGATGTTTGACGGCGAGCTGGAGGACCGCCACAAGGAGCTGTTCATCGCCGCCGACCCGTCCGTGGCCGACGACCGGCTCTGGCACGACAAGTATCAGCTGAGGTCAGCCATTGTGATACAATTTCGGACGGTGCTGTTCGCCGCTGCTCCGTCGGTATCGCGCCCGGTTAAACAGCTCTTGGCAACTCCTGAATCGCTGGGAACCAGTGGCTTGTCAGCCAGGTGACACCTTACAATGTATCACTGGATTGCTTGTGATGCTGGTGTGTTTTCATACTTGCCCTGGGCCGGGGATTTTGCCCTGGCTCTGTTGCGGGTTAATGCCAGTGAAACAGGTGCTGCTTCGAGCTCATGAGCGGTTGACAGGAGCAGCACCGCATTAGCTGGCCGTCGGAGCCACCATTACCGACCGACCTGCTTCAGCTCGCCATGTGACCCTCAATGTCGGCGCCGCAGGGAGTCGCAGATCCCCAGCTTCCTGACGAACACGCAGGCCCGGCGCATCCTGGCCACTGGCAAGAGCATCAACTTTCTGCGCCAGGTGTGCCGCGACGACAGTGGCATTCGCGGCATCGAGTCGCTGCGCGCCAAGTTCGACGCCATCAACGGTGAGTGTCCGCCGCGTCCAGCTGGCCGGCCAGGGGCAGCCGCGATACCAAGGGAGGGGGAGCGCGTGTGGTCTTGGTCCCGGTCCTGGTCCTGGCCTGGTCCTGATCCTGATCCTGATCCTGATCCTGATCCTGATCCTGATCCTGATCCTGATCCTAATCGTGGCCCTGGCCCTGGCTCTGGTCCTGGCCTTGCGCCTGGTCCTGGCCCCGGTCTTGGCCCTGGCCCTGGTCCTGGCCTTGCGCCTGGTCCTGGCCCTGGCCCTGGTCTTGGCCCTGGTCCTGGCCCTGGCCCTGGCCCTGGTCCTGGTCATGCCCCTGGTCGTGCCCCTGCCCCTGCCCCTGCCCCTGCCCCTGCCCCTGCCCCTGGCCCTGGTCCTGCGCCTGGGCCTAGTCCTGGTCGTGATGTTCAGCTCAGTGTGTGTGTGGCGTCCGGGGAGAGAGCGGGCCTGATCTGTCGTCCTGTGGTCGCGGCTTGCGTTTGCGTAAAGGTGTTTTCGGACCCTCCGAACTGTTTGGTCTTTTGTGATGGCTCCCGGAATCCTCCATGGTATGCTGCACATTTAGTAAGCTGGACACTGCATTTTTCTTCCGAGAACTTGCCTCCACCACTTCCTTCCAAGATACAAAAAGTCCTTCAAGGCGTTTAACGTATCAGTCATCTCCACATTTGCCGACGGGCTGACCGCTGACCAGCCTCCTAGCTGTTGAATTAACGCCTCCCTTAACCAAAGCCGGAGTCCGACCCGTGCCACCCGTCCTTCTCCGTCTCCCAATCCCCGCACGCCTTGGAGTCCGCCTGACGCCTGCACTGGGCGCGTGCCGCGCCCGCCAGTGGAGGCGCTGTACCTGGAGGACGGCACGGGGGAGCTGAGCGCCACGATCGCGGCCGTCTACCGCGAGACGGCCCGCCACGTCCTCGACACCATGTGCCAGCGCTACCAGTTCCTGGAGAACCTGCAGGCGATCCGGCGCTACCTGCTGCTGGGCCAGGGAGACTTCATTCGGCACCTGTTGGAGCTGATCGAGTCAGTACCCGGAGACGCAGTCGCAGTGTACCCGTGAGGCAGTGCCAAGACACGTCCACACACACCCTTGAATCAGTGCCGAATCAATGCCCACACTCGCCCTTAAGTCAGCATCGGGACTCCGCGAACACGTACGCCTGAATCAGCGTCACTAGACACAGCAGCTCACGCTGACGCCTGGGTTAGAAACAAGCCACCGCTCACACGCACCCCCCGAGTCGCGGGCACACTGTTTACTGCCGTGGGAATAGACTTGCGCAACGTCTATGTGTATGGATAATGAAACAGTCTTATAGACGTGGTCTTGGCCATTGGTCTCGTCCAAAGTTACCCTCCTTGCCATCGAATTCAATCATACAAGTCCGTCCCCTCCCGTTGACAGCAAAACACAGTCCTTGAACATGTGCTCCCCAAATATGCGTAACCATCCCTTCGACCCGACCTGTTTATGCTCACCTTGTTGACGTGTGTTGCCGCGCGCACAGACCGGAGCTGTGCAAGCCGGCCACCACGCTGTACCCGCACAACCTGAACGGCATTCTGGAGTCAGCGATCCGCGCCACCAACGCGCAGTGGGAGGCGGCGGACGTACTGAAGCGGCTGGACGTGCGGCTGCTGAGCGTCTCGCCCGGCGACACCGGCTGGGACGTATTCAGCCTCGACTACCACACGGACGGCCCCATCAGGACGGTGAGCGCGGCCACCGGGCGGCGCGGCAAGGGCTCAAGGTCAGGACCGGGAGGGGCTAGTGATCGAGACAGCGGTGGAGTCGCGGATCAGACGGGTGAGATGCTGTCGCACCGAGCATCGGCTGATCAGGACAGTGGAAGTGGCCACCGGGTGAGGGCTCGAGGCCAGGACCGGGAGGGACTAGTGATCGAGACAGCGGTGGAGTCGCGGACCAGACGGGCGAGGCTGTCGCACGGAGCATCGGCTCATCAGGACAGCGAGAGCGGCCACGGGGTGAGGGCTCGAGGTCAGGACCGGGAGGGGCTGGTGATCCAGACAGCGGTGGAGTCGCGGACCAGACGGGTGATGCTGTCGCACCGAGCATCGGCTGATCAGGACAGCGAGAGCGGCCACCGGGTGAGGGCTCGAGGGTCAGCACGGTGTTAGAGCCGCATATCAGACAAGTAAGGGTGTCCAACGGACGTGTCCATGGGGACGGTGAGATGGTTACCCGTGTATTGTCTTCGGCATCATTGCTCCGAATTTGCAAATTTTCCGATTCGATGTGCCACATCACGTGGCCCTGCCTGCACAGCCAGCGTGTAACGTCGCTCCGGCGCCTGTTTCAGATCTTCACCCCGCAGTGCATGACGTGCTACCTGATGCTGTTCAACGCGCTGTGGCGCGCCAAGCGCATGGAGTTCGTGCTCTCCGGGGTGTGGAAGCGGCAGGCCCTGCTGGCAAAGATGACGAAGAGTGAGTCAGACCGCGTGGGGCGATCGCCGCGATTTATCGACAGGGTCTAGCCGTGTCAGCTTATTGATGGGTGTGGAATGGGCTGCGGCATGCTGTCCTCAGGGTCTTGGCTACTGAACCATTGGTGCGTAACCGTTCCACTGCGATGTCACCGGAACCGTTCGTCGACACTGCCCCCTCCCCCTCCCCCCGGCAGGCCTGACGGAGACCAGCGTGGTCCTGCACCTGGCGGACGTGCTGACCTCGCAGATGGTGCACTTCATCCACCAGCTGGCCTATTACATCACATTTGAGGTCAGTCAGTCCGTGGAACCGCCGTGACGCTGACCGAGCTACAATTACTGATTGCACTCACCGCCAGTGCTATCTTTAACAGCTCACGTAAATTTGTGCAGTTTGCGCCGTGCTATATGCGCAAACTGCTATACTGCGCCCCTATATGATAAATGTGCCTTTGGCAACGACACATTGATCTCGGTATCGGCATGTCGTCTTGTCTGACTTCTGACGAACTTTGTCACTGTCGTCGGCCAGGTGATGGAGTGCTCCTGGGCCGACCTGACCTCGAAGGTCAAGCGGGCCGACAGTCTGGACGAGGTGATCAGCGCGCACACAGAGTTCCTGAACACCATCATGTCTCGTGCCCTGCTAGACGACACGTCCCAGGTCAGAGCCGGGTCGGAGGTCACGCCCCAGGCTGTAGCCGGGTCAGAGGTTACGTTTCAGGTCAGTGCCGGGTCGGAGGTCACGCCCCAGGTTATAGCCGGGTCAGAGGTTACGTCTCAGGTTAGAGCCGGCCCGTCTCGACGGACGGCGGGCTGCGCTGGTCCGCTCAGCTGTAGGAGCCGGCCACACGCGCAAGTCTGGACATCGATTCCTGTCCTGGCGTCTGTTGCTTTGGTGCTCTCCGTCTTGTGGCACTCTCGTCGTTGGGCCCACCGTCCTGCGGCGCTCCTCGATTTTCGCGCGTCGGAGCGGACCGCCGACGCTGCTGAGCACGCCAGACTTGCAGGACTGGCCCGCGGCGTGTGACCTGCCACGCCCTGACTCGGTCGTACTCTCTGTCGGCAGGACATGCTGCACCAGCTGCGCGTCATCTACGACCTGATCCTGCAGTTCCAGATCCTGCAGGAGCGGCTCTATGACCGCGTGGAGGCCGAGCTGGCGCGCCGCGCTGAATACCAGGCCGCGGTCAGTTTCGGGGCGGGTGGTCAGCGTTGGTGCCGGGCTGCGGTCAGCGTCGGGGCCGGTGGCCAGGGTCGGTGCCAAGCCTTGGCCAGTGTCGGGGCTGGTGGTCAGGGTCAGTGCCGGACCGCGGTCAGTGTCGGGGCTGGTGGTCAGGGTCGGTACCAAGCCGTGGTCAGTGTCGGTGCTGGTGGCCAGGGTCGGTGCCAAGCCGTGGTCAGGGTCGGGGCTGGTGGTCGGGATCTGTGCCGGACCGCGGTCAGTGTGGGGGCTGGTGGCCGGGTCGGTACCAAGCCGTGGCCAGTGTCGGGGCTGGTGGTCAGGGTCGGTACCAAGCCGCGGTCAGTGTCGGGGCTGGTGATCAGGGTCGGTACCAAGCCGTGGTCAGTGTGTGTCGCCGCGGCGTGCGTCGCAGTGCTGTCTCTTCCGGGTACCAGATCCGGGACCCAGCACAATGCAATGATCAGCTCACACTGGACCACCCGCTGTAAAAACCAGCGATTGTAGCGTCCTTCTGTACGGCGTAACTGCCGTTTTCACAGCTACCGCTGCGGTCATTGGCGCCGTGAGCGCCACGTAAGAGCCTCTTGTGAGGAGCACGCTGTTCCCTGCCACAGCGAGCGTTCGTGTCTCGTGTTCCCCGGTGACGGCCGGCTGATGACGGGGTGCGGTGGGCTGTGCGGATCAGATCGCGGCGCGCACGCGGGCCGGCCAGTACGGCACCAGCAGCGCCGACGAGGCGGCCGAGGCGGAGCGGCGGCGCGACTTCGTCAAGATCTTCCTGCCGGCCACTAAGGCGCAGCTGCAGAACCTCACGCAGGGATACCAGGTCAGCCGCGTGGCGGGCAGCGCGCTATTGCAGACGGCTGACACTGGTGGTGCTTATGTGGACGCTCAAGTGCTAAGCTAGGGCTGGGAAGTAGTGTTTATTAGCGGCGTGTGTGGGCGGATTTTTTTTGCTTCTTTGTTGCATGACATCTGTTCGTTTTCTTTTGTGGGATGAGAGCCCAATGTGTGGGAAAGAAGCTTGAAATGTCTGGAACCTCATGTCCGCCTGCGCGCTGTTATGGTTCCTAGTTGCGGAATGTTCGCGTTCTTTTATTATGCCTTTGGTCGTTCTCTGGTTCTTAGAAATTTCAGCTTAACTTCAATATTGGACGTTGAGCTGGCTGGACGGTACTGCAGAGAAAGTGACGCGTCTCGGCCTCCCCGACAGAACATGGTGCTGGGTCTGCTGATGATGCTGTCATCCCAGGAGGATCTCAGCCTGCAGTACCTCAGCTTCCGACTCGACTTCAACGAGCACTACCGCAGCAAGGACTCGCGCCTCTCACTACCGCTGACGTATCACCACCGGCGCATGAGCGGCGTCGGGGTGCGGCTGTGACCCGGTGGGGTCAACCGAGGTCACGGCACCGGCGGCGGGGTCAGGTTTCTGGAGGGCTCAGCTAGGGTCAGAGTACAAGCGGCGGGGTCAGCCTTCCGGGCGGGTCAGCCGAGATCACGGCCCAAGCCTCGGGGGCAGGCCTGTGGCGAGGTCACTCGGGGTCACGGCACAAGTAGCGGAGCCGGACCTCCGGAGCGTTCTCCAAGCTGAGGTCACGGAATGAGCGGTGGGGCAGACCTTTCAGGAGGCTGCCCAGAATCACTGCATCTGCTGGCACTGGCTCAGCCTCCCCCACCCGAGGTCGCCTGAAGCCATATGTTTGGCGTTGGGGTGCCTGAGGGAAGCAGTAAGCTTGACCAGGCCAGACAAAGATGTCTCCTGAAGAGAGGCAGAGTCTAGTGCTGCCTGGGACTGGTTCGAAAGACTCATTCACGGACCTCTGAGAGCGCTGTCAGCTGCTGACGCTGCTGAACTCTGATTGGCGTCCGCTAGAGCGGAGCTCTGGCGATAGCCGACGCTGTCCGCCGCTGTCCCCGACCTAGGCTCCACTCCATGTCCTCCGGAAGTCAGTAGGCTCGTGTCCGCCGCTTTCCCCGACCTGGGCTCCGTTCCGTGCCCTCCGGGAGTCAGAAGGCTCGTGTCGGCCGCTGTCCCCGACCTGGACTCTCCGGGAGTGAGACGGCTCGTGTCCGCCGTCCGCCCTGCGCCGTGCCGTGGCGCGCCGGTGCGCCCTCCGGAAGCGTGGCGGCCCCTCCCGGCGTCGGCTCACTGGCCGGTGTCTCGGCCGGCAGCACCTGAGGCCACGGCTCCAGCCCGCCAGCCTGCGACACGTGACGCTGGACCCAGGGCAGCGCCAGACTGGCGCCAGCGGGCGCGTACCCGGCCTTGGTCAGAGATTTGCCCGCATGTGCGCCGGTTGGATGGAGCCATACCGTATAGCCATTCCTCACTGATGATCTGTGATGCAGCCCAGCTAACCGGCTTCGCTTTCAGTCGCGTGTTGTCCTGCTGCGCGCCCGCAGGGGTGCCACGTGTTGGCGAATCCCGTCTCGCGACTCTCAGCTCAGCTTACCTCGCTGACCCGAGCCGTGCCATGCGGGGCCTGTCCGGGGTCAGCTCGGCAGCCTGAGGCCACTAGCTTACGCCGCGCGCGCATAACCTGCTGACATTAATGCCCATAACCAACCGCTCACGCTGATTGTGTACATATGTCATCCGATTCGATGCCAAATATAGTCATCGTGTACTGAAGGGTACTTTTTGTTGCTGATCTTTTAATAACTAAAGCATGAACCATATTGGTCCATGTTGCTGGACTCGACGCAGTGTGCCATTAGATGTCAGTCGTCTGTGATATATTTCTGCTTTTGAAAAAAGCATCTTGTGATCGCAGAAGATTGCAAAATCTGTGGCAATCGTGATGACTAGTCTAGGGTCAAAGTGATGAATGGATTTTAACGAGACATTGCTGGCGTTAAGGGGGATACAACTGCTGCAACTGGAGGACTATGATAACTGAAAGATAACTGCAAGAGCAATGTACGGATTCAACGAACTCGGCCAACACCTTTGATGCACGGAGCCTAGACAAGACGCTTCATCCATCGGCTACGCAGAGCGGCCAAAGCCTGCTTTGCCGACTGTTCTCTGCTGAGTGGGTTCGCGTCGCCTCAAGCATAGCACATATGTGCAGGACGAATCGGACCGCCGTGAGACGCAGCCAGGCTCGGAGCGTGCCTGTAATCCCCTGCCTGTTACATCGGTTGTGCCGCACGCTCTGCCCGCAGGCACATCACCTGCGATCCCGCGCATACCGCTCATTCCATTTGCGTCGGGAGTCATTCATCTTGCGCAGCCTACACGGCTTTAGCACGTGTGGCTGTTTACTCTGCTCGAGATCGCATTCCCGCGCGTCGTCGCGTCGGGCAGCGGCGCCTGGGCGCTCGCCGGCTGGCCTGGAGCTGTCCGCTCCAGGGCAGCGCCGCCAGCGTGTCAGCTCCTCCCGTGTCTTCCTCGCTCCCCTCCCCCCCACGGACGGGCCGGCCGCGGCTCGACGCGCACCTGCTGCACATTAAACCCGGCGGGATTTGTGCGGGGGGCGGAGTGTCGCGACGAAATCAGCCGACCGGGCCGGCGCCAAGCGTCACCCGCGGGCGTTACAGGCCGACGCCAGCACATCTGACAGCGCTGCGCGTTGTGGCGCCATTGGAGCGCTTACGTTGTGCATGTGGAGTTGAAGTCAAGCGACACACCCACGTGCGCACGGAATGAGAGCCGGGAAGTAAACGGGCGCAGTCTCGTAACCGCCGTGAGACGCTCTGAAATGCCCGCTGGCGGTTAGGTTCGGACCCGACCACCGCTGCCCCGAGTTCATTTTTAGCCTGTGACCTCCCTGCTGCTAGCTCCAAATTGCACACTTACTAGCCGTGACGGCCTGGGAATGTGGCAGCGGGCCAGGAAGCGCGGCACCGTTGACGACGTGACGAGCCGGACTCGGCCTGGGACTCCTGGAACGCGGCACACCGGGACCCCGGCGTATCGCGTTCCAGATAGGGTCTCAGAGAAGCTAGTGGACACGGCGCCTTCCGACAGAGCCTCCTTGCAAGGATTCATAGAGGGGCACATCGCCGTACCAAAGGTACAAGACCCAACGGAGATGACCAGGCACCGGAAGACCATGCAACATATCGACTGGGAGTCGATCTGTTGCATGGTCTTCTTCATGATCGACAACAACCCACCCATTCACGCAGCTCGACACTCACAGTAAAAACAGCCGACTATAGCGGCGATGTATGGTATGTGACATGAAGAACAGTCGTGTTGGTACAATTACAGCAACGATCAGGCCCCTGACCCTGTCCTGGAACCTTAGACGGCAACTCAGCACACGGCTGCTGCGGGGAACAGTCCTAATCCCGGTGCATGCCCTCTGTAGCCGACAGGTCAGAGGGGTGCAGTGATAGATGGGCGGCCCATTCGTTCGATGGTGTGTTAGTGAGGCTTGGCCGGCATCGAAGAAAGCTGAAGAGGCTGCTGTACAGTCGGTTTTGGTCGCGTATGAGACGAGGGGGTGCTGGGCATCAACAACATTTGGCGTTAATTCAGGAATATATACGAGATAAAGGAATTATTTGCAGCATTTTATTTATTATATCTTCAGGATTTGGCCATACACTTCTGATTGTATAAATCTTTTGGACGAGCGCCCATGCATTTTTTCGCTACATTGCCATTCAGTCGAAGAACTTCGTGTCAGGTGCGGTAGAATTTTACAGCAAAAACTGCGAGCCGTTATCTTTGCAATGCCCGTCCTATGGGTAGGAGGGTCCGTGCTACCCCTCTCTGACGTCACCTGATCTTTAAAGGAGAATTTCACATCTGGAGATATAAAAGCAAGCATCAAATATTACGAAACAAGCTCACTTGTAGCTATTTGTGTTTTTCAAACGGAAAAGACTGCTCTAGACAACTAAATTCTCAGTTTAGTAAATATCCTCCTCAATGCGCCATGGTTTGATTACATCACCGTACCTTATACAACATTGACTGAGAACCAAGTGACGGCAGTTATACCTGGAAATCGCGCTCACGAACGCCAGATATGAATGGCTCGACAATTATATTTTTCTGGGCCTTGAACGCCGCACGGCTTATGGCATCACAGGATTTGAATGAGGTTATAACGCCAGGGATGTCTGCATGAGATTACAGAAATAATTTCCCCGAATTAGTCTCGTCATCGAAACAGTCATCGGACTAGTCACCGCGATGTTTTTTTGCGGGCGTGTAACTCAGAAACTAGGGGGGCTTAGGTCTTAAGAAGCGCATAATTGTGAACAGCGCCGAAAGGTCTTCAAGGTGGGCATTTCAGTTCAAACTCCCATATAAATATGGAATGCTCCCTTCAGGGGCAGTGTTCCACACCGTGCGCTTCCAGCCGCAGTTCATGCCGACCATGACCCAATAGTGGCCGCGAGAGGCGTCTCGAACCCTCCCCCGCCAGTTCGTCATTAGGGTTGCAGGTGCTCTCACCAACTGAGCTATTGAGACGGATTAAGTGATGGAAGGAAAATATCAATTTCTTGGTTGTGAGCAAGCTTGGGAATAAGTATTGGCACCTCCAGAATAATGGAACAACATATTTATAATGAAGAACAGGGAAGCGTAGCAACGTCAGCCTGTCCGTTTCTATTTTCAGAACTGTATCTGACTAGTATGCGGGAAGGGTAATTATCACACGCCAATAAGATCCCTCAATACATTATTTGTCTTCATGAAATCCGCAGTAGCATTCAAACCATACACTGGCACAGCCAGTCGCGTATTTTTTGTTGTTTTTTAAACATACATTTACAAACATCAACAATCACTAGACAATACACACGCAGTTATCAGACATGATATGGGCTGGGCAGCCATCTGCAAAGGTCGACAACGGCCCCTGTGTCGGGGTCGATGCGACGCGCACTGGGGCGACAACAGGCCACACCCAACCTGCCATGGCTAGTGTGCTCTTAGGAATAAGCGTGAGCGTGCTTTGAAAGGGAGAAATGGAAATAGCTTATGAGCCTGGCCAGTCGTGTGTTTTAGTTGGCTGAAGCCAAAACTTCATATCATATCATATCTTAGACTCCTGAGCACGTCAGTGATGTTTTTCCTGTATTTTAAAAGGAATTTTCCACATTTGAAGATAATAAAACAAACATCAGATACAATAAAATAATCTCATTTATAACTATTGGCATGCTTTTCGGTGAAAAAACTGCTCTGGACAGCTCAATTTCTGTTTGGTAAATATGCCCCAGAATACGTCATTGTTTGATTACGTCATCGTACCATGCACAACATGAATTGATAGCCTATTGACGGCCCCTTTATCTGGGAATTGTTCTCACAAAAGCCAGATATGAGCGCCTGGACAGTTATGTTTCCTTTGGACTTGTTGTGATTCCTTCTGAACATGTGGATTTGTTAGTACGGATGTGCCGAGGTTTTTCAAATGCAAATGCTTGTCCGCAAAACTAACAGCTGACATTCCTCTTGCCTTCCCCTCTGCAGTCCGTCTCAATAGCTCGGTTAGAGCGTCTGTCTTCCGATTTGGGTTTTGGTGTTGGCGGGGGTTCGACTCGATTTATGCATTCATTATTTGGCCCTGGCTGGCATGGACTGCGACCGGCGGCAGCAGGTGCGGGAAAGTCATGTGACGTCAGAGGGTCCTACACTCAGGGTAACATTTGCAATGTCGCGCGTTGCGGGGCGTTAACTTCTGCGTGACATTTTACTGTTAGCACCAACTTTCACGGTCGGATGGTCGTGTCGAGGTCACGCAACAAGCACCACTTGATGCGGGCGATGTCCCAGCAATGTCCCCAATCAAATGGTTGAGACTT